ACATATCAGTGTAATTTTTACCATTCTCCCCTTCTGTTTTCAGAAATTTGTTTGGGTGATACTCAGCTGAACATTCAGTAAATGTTTCTTACATCTCTCAACACTCACAAAAGAGTTTAAATGTTGAGAGATGTATTTACTCATTTCAGTGGCATGCATCTCAGTTACTTTCTTCTTCTCTTTGGGTTCCTGTGCTTCAGAGCTCTGTTGCTAACCAAAAGGTCTGTGGTTCAAATCTACCAGCTGTGGAAAAGATGTGGCAGTCTGCTTCCATGTAGCCTTGGGAATTCTATGGAGCAGTTCTACTTTGTCTGTGTCTCACTGAGTCAGAATTTATTAGATGGCAGTGGGTATAATGGGCCCATTATTAATGCCCATACTTCATATGTTGGTCACAATAACCAGTTCACACAACTACCTACTTTCTGACTATTACAAATAATTTTATTTTCTAATTTTGTTCCTTTGCTTTTGTTTTGTTTTTTGAAAAACCCAAAAAGAATTGGGCACTTAACAGTGCAACCACTCAAAGCAATGGTTAAAAGATTCTCACTCTGATTTGTTTTCTCACAGTTTAGAAGGGTTGTTGTTATTATTGTGAAGTGCCTTTGAGTTGGTTCTGATTCATAACAACTCTGTATATAGATTTCCAATGAGGAGCTGGTAGATTAGAACCGCCAACCTTGTGCTTCTCAGTGCAGTGCTTATCTTACAGTGTCACACCAGAAGTCCGTTCTTTTGCTTTTGATGCCTGAACTTTAATTGGCAAAAAAAGAAAAGCGAGAAAAAAAAGCACAAAGCATGAGAGAGAAATGGAAAAAAACCAAAAAATCTTTCCATTGCAGCTTCTATCTCATGTTACTTCCTGTTGCATCAAATCTCATACTTATCAGAATTTTTTCAATCTTAGTATCTAGAACCTCTTGATCAGACATTTGCTTATAACAGGAACCTAAGGTATACAAACATAAAATCATTTGGCTTCACTTTTGCTCTAGATTTTTGGTATCACAATGCAAGTTTGACCTCTTATTTCTGACATCTGTAAAAGTGTCCAAACTGATCTGTGCCCCTTCTTGTTCCTGATCTCTTCAATATGCATACATTTCACTTACCCCCAGATGTTAGCTTGAGTAGGTGACTCAGCTTCCAGAAAATTACCCCCCATGGATCCCTGGTGATTACATGGTCCACACTTCCTCAGTGAGGTCGGGACATCATGGCTTCTAAGACAGGGCCTTGTACATGGAACACAAGATCCGTTTGACGCACACGTGTACGTGAGGTCAAGCCTCTCTACCATCTCTGTTAACCCCTGTACATGCGTCACGTGCTGGCTTCCCTTGAACCAGCTACCTCAAACATCAAAAAATTGCCTAACTTGTGACCATTTTCTCCTCCAAAGGTACCCATTCTTTACCCGTGCCCTAAAACACCTTTGAAATAAAGCCTGGTTTGAATGCCGGTTTGTCTCTTGTATCTTCCTTTTTTTAGTATCCTCAGCAAATTCCTCCACACAACTTCTTTAATAGACTTTGCATTTTTCACTCCTGTGACTTTGTTCACAAAGCTACCTAAGATGGAATGTGTGTGTTCTAACTCCCTTAAAACAGTTCCATGGAGTAGATTTTGACTTATCGCAGCCCCACTGTGCCAGAATACAGTTGTGTTCCATAGAGTTTTCTGTGGCTGATTTTTGGAAAATAAATTGCCTGGCCTTTCTTCCAAGTCACCTCTGGATAGAATCTATCTTCCAAACTTCCAGTTATCGTCTGAGCATGGTAACAGTTTGTACCACACAAGGATTTCTTTACTGAATAGAAACTACTTGAGGGATATAGTTTTGTTTGATCTTCTTCAGGGTTTAGTGTACGTACTCTCACTACAAGATTGTTGCTGTTTGCAAGTCATTGCATGTAAAGGCCAGGGAAGCTGCTTGTGCATCCATGACTGGAGTGGAAACTTTTGTTTTTCTAGACTGCATACTTCTTACCACCCAATTTGAATGTCTGTGACTTTATTGTTCATAACTACCTGTACTGTTATTTGAGAGAACCGTGGGCTGTGGGAAACCTCAATTAATCTACATTGTGTAAATTGCTCTTTAGGGTGGAGGTTTGCTCTGTTTTCAGTCTTAATTTCTCTGAATTTGAGGGAGCTGCCATCTGTGACAGTGTGGTAGTTAAGGAGTGGGTTTTTTTTGTTGTTTTTTGCATCCATCACAGACCATCTTTGATTCGTTTGTCCTCTGATATGTTTGTTAATTTCTTGCAGAGAGCCCCAGATCCTTATGATTATCTTGTTGTTGTTAAGTGCCCCTGAGTCAGTTCCAACTCAGGGATGCTTGGAAAACCATAGGATTTCTTTGGAGCAGCTGGTGGGTTTGAACCACCCATTGCATAATTAGCAGTCCAGTGTTTATACTACAATGTCATGATTAGGTTGTTGTTGTTGTTAAGTGTGATTGAGTCAGTTCTGACTTGTAGTGACCCCGTATAGAGTTTCTGAGATGTGACTGATGACTTTGAACTGCTGACCTTGCAGTTAAAAATTAATAAAATTAATTATACTCAAGACACTTTTTGCTGCTTCCTGACTTTCATTTTTGTGACTCATAAATGACCTCTGCCATTGGGATGGTTGGAAGAGAGAAAGATGGCAGTGTGTTTGTGTGATGGGGAGTTCCTGAAGCCACCCTTCTTCCTGTAAACCATATTACAGAAGTGATCCTGTAATATGGTTGCATTCTTTGGAGAGCCATGTGAACATGGCAAATGGTAGGGGCATTCAAATATGAAGCTTTCTTTAGATTGGAGCTTCTTAGAATCAGTCTCCAAGGAGGGTCTTCAACACTTTTCCTCTACCCTAGCCTCCATCAGCTTCCTTTAAAGCCATCCTGAATAAACACACAGTGTCAACACCAGGAGTAGTGTTCGTCCTATGCAAGCAAGTTTTCAGACAAATTTCCTGCTTCCCCTCCAACCAGACTGACACTGATGAAGCCCCTCTGCAAATTCTGGAGCTACAGCTGACTTCATAGCATTACATAAGTATGGACAAGGAACATTCTACCTACCTACCTATGGGGAAAATGGACACAAAAATTTTAAAAAAGAAAAATTTATATTTTAATATTATGTAGCTTTTCTTGGATGTGGTTGAAACAGAATGCTCTTAATTGGGTGTTCTGCTGGTTGCCTTTCAATAATACTAAAAAGTTTTATCTTTTAAGATTTTTATAATGATGTTAATAAGGATGTTTGTGATTAATTGTATAACCACTGACATTTATTCAACAATTTACAAAGCATTTTCATATACGCAGAGTGCTGCATTCTTCCAGTTTTGTTAATGAGATACCTTGTGGTGTCTTCAGAGAATAGAAGGAACGAATAGTTTCCAAGGTTAACAGTCCAAGGTTAACTTCTTGAATGACTCCTATGGTTATAGTTAATTTTAACTTCTTCTGCTCCATAAAATTGCTACTCCCCAAAGTTAATTTCTTTTATCTAAGGGTAATTTGACTAGATATTAGAAATCTATTTTACTCATGTTCTGCCAGTCAAAACAATTTTGTTGTTATTGCTATCTTTATATATATATGTTGTTGTTGTTATGTGCCGTGGAGTCAGTTCTGACTCATAGCGAGGTGGTAAATCTTTACGGGAGCAGAGAGCCTCAGCTTTCTCCCACAGAACAGCTGGTAGTTTCGAACTGCTCTCCTTGCAGCCCACAGCCCCATTTGTAATCACTATGCTACTTATATATACACACACATAAGTATTTCAGAAGTTCTGGGGAAATAAGCTAAAGATAATACTTGACCTCTGATACAATGTCCTCCTTTGATTGTGATCAGTATTTTCATTGAATCTATGTTCAGTGACGTCTTTGAATGCGATTCTGAAAATCTTGAGGAAATCTGATTGACTGACTGTTGTTTCTCTTAAATGACCTTCCTGTGTTATAGGAGATGGCCACCAAGGCTAACTATGCTCTCTGCTCTCTCCAAATGAGGTATCTTGAAGTTGCAAGGGAATAGAAGCATTGTTGTTGTTGTTATGAGGTACCATCAAGTCGGTACTGACTCATAGCGACCTTACGCACAACAGAATGAAGCACTGCCCGATCCTGGGCCAACCGCATTACTGTTGCCACGCTTGAGTCCATCAGTGCTGCCACTTGGCCAATCCATCTCACTGGTGATCAAGTTGGTGGATTGCAATCATTTTAACCTGACCTCACTTGTGGACTTGTGTACACGTTACTAGGGCTGCAGTAAGTAATAATCTTTCTTTTAGTGAACATTTCTGCCTAAAGCCTTCTTTGGAATATAACCAAAAACGTTCCCCAAAGCAAAACCCAAACCCATTGTTGTCATGTTGATTCTGACTGATGGTGACTCGTGTGTCATGGAGTAGAAATGTTCCTTGTCATAGAATTGTCACAGAATAGAAATACTGCTTTCTTGGCTCTAATCTCTCTGGAAGCAGATCACCAGGCCTTTCTTCTGCAGTGCTCCTAGGTAGGTTTGAATTGCCAACTTTTAGGTTTTTAGTCAAGTGCAAACCATTTATGCCACCCAAGGAGCTCTACCTTTGGCACATTTCTTCTCAGAATATATAAAATGTTTTTCATAGTGAAAAGCTTGTCTAGTTTTGTTGTTAAAATAAATGAACATTAACAGTCAAAAAGAAGTATTGGAAATAGTCTTTTGTCTACTTGTCCCAGGAGCTGAAGAAAACTCATATAGGAAAACATAAAGGAGTGGTTATTTGAATGATTTCGCTATCATTGAAACTTATGGAGGAAAGGACACTAGTGGAGAAAAATGACTAGTCTGGTAGTTGAAGAAAATGTACTGACCATTCCCAGTTTAAAATAAATACTCAGATTTACTGAACGTTTTACATGACTTTTTTCTAAACAGTTTCGTTTGTATGTCTTGCCTTGTGTTTTGAATAACCCTTTGTGACGGTTGTAATTATCCCATTTTACAGATGTGGAAATGGGGGGCCAAAAGCGATGAAACCGTCTGTCCAGCTATAATAATACAGCTTATCCCCTGAAACCTTGTTGAATATTGTGAATTTATCCTTTCGTCGTTTAACCATTTTAGTTTCTGCACTCCATTGCTGTTACTTTCCAAGTAAATCTAAGCTAAAAAGAGAACCTTGCTTCCAGCAGGTTTTCAAGTTTTTGTACACAAATTGTAGAAGGGGAGATGGAAGTGTTGCCATCTGGAGTTTCAGTCTTTGCTTGAAAAGCTCCCGTTAGAAGCTCTTCTTGAGGGTTTAGTCTTACTGGAGTTCAAACTCTTCAGTGAGTCACTTGTCTTCATTTTTCCCTCCTGTGGTAACAGCTTCTCTCTTAAACACCATGTGGTCTGCCTTCTGAGGGTTTTGTCACAATTGTCAATAGACAAATGCTGCCACTTATAAAAAGGTTACTCCAGTGGTTAAGGTCGTGCTGTTTTGCTCTTCACCAGAGCCTCAGGTACTTGAGATAATCGGGTATGTGCATCTTTGCATAGGAAGGACAGAACAGTGGTGGGCAGTGCCATCTGACTTCCCCAACTTTACGAGGGCAATAATGAATCACCATCAGCATCAGCCCAAAGCTGATTGCTATGAGGCAGAGATCAGGAATACCTCCTCGTGCCAACCTTTTTTTTAACCAGTTCTGACAATAATTGTCCCTCCCGTGACATTCTCTACAGGGTTTGATAATCCATTGCAATGGCCATACAGAAACCATACTCACAGGAATGGGGATTATTAGTAATGTAATGGGTTCCAATTCAGGTTCAGGAATGCTCAGGATATAGTTCTTTGATTAGGGCAGCCTCTTCCCAGCTGTGCCCACAAATACACCTCTCTCTGGCTTTCAGTCCCTCAGCCCCTTTGGCCTGTATTCTTGCCTGCTCAGGCAAGTGTTGCAAAGCTCTTTTAGCTCTGCTGATAAGTGGCCAGAGGCACCTCATTCCTCCTGCAAGCCTCCTGCCTTAAGGCACACAGCTCTTGTGCTCTGGCTAGGAATTCCACTTCACGGTCTCCTCCTCTGGTCTCCTGGTTCTTCTGCCTCTGAGTTCATCATTTCTCTGATGCCACTTGGTATCATCATGTGTAGTCTCTGTTGCTACAGTTCTCTCTGTCTCCTGTGTCTTGTTGGCTTCCAGTGCAGAGATCCCAGGTCTAAAGGATGTGTGCTGCTTCTACCTTTTCTTCTTGGTGCTGGTGATGTCCCCTCTCTGTTCTAGAACTGCCTCTCTTTTAAGCCTAACAGGATGGCAAACTGACTAGTTCCCTTGTAAGGTTTCCATACACCATATTTGCATGGTCCCGCCACCAACGGGTTTATTTGTATTATTAGCAGGTTGCTCAATTTGCTTGGTGCGCCATAAGTATGGTGCATAGTCCCACCCAGTCATTCAATAGGAGTCACAAGACCATGGCAAGAAAGGCTATACAAAAGTGATCCACCACACTGCAAGGACGCTTCTTACAAGATAGGCATGGAACACTCAGTAGGATATTTTAAAGGACATGGTAAATAATCTTAATTAGGAACAGCAGATACTACAACCAGTTTTTGCCAGCAGAAAAAGCTACTTTATTATACTTCTGCTTTCCTGCAGCCTGCTTTATTTAAGTGTTATTAGCTCAATAACTTACAAGGGGAAGTTGAGTCATGATGTAGTTTTACTTAATTTTGGTTAAGGAAACACATTAAATCAGCTCTCACACAATAATATGGTCTTCTTCCTGTTCTTTCTACTAGTGTGTGAGTTTCATGGAAAACTGGAATCAAAAGATAATGGAATTTTTCCATGAACTTTTTAAAACTCCCCTTATATTTGTTGGAATAATTTTTCTAATAGACTTGAAAATTAGAATCATTCTGTTACATTTTCTTCTTTGAGGATTTTTCCAGTAAAGGTGGTCTTCGTTATATCTGGGATGTTGTTGTTACTGTTGTTAAGTGCCATCAAGTCGGTTCCAATTCGTAGTGAACCTATATAGAGTTTCCAAGGGGTGGCTGGTGAGCTTGAACCACCTACCCTGTGGTTCAAACTTTGCAGTCCAGTATATTAACCCACAGGGCCACATCAGGACTCCATATTTGGGATAGACAAGTGTATAGAGACCAAAGTTTATTAGTAGGTACCAGTGTGGAGGGAGGGATGGGAGGGGGAATTTCACTGCTAAGGACATTGAGCTTCTGCTAAGGGTTATGGAAAAATTTGAAGAAAATAATATCAATGGTTGAAAAATATAAATATAACTATAACTGACTTGTGTACATGAAGAATGTTGAAAAGGTAAACAGTTTGTTACAAAGATATCTTCCATAATAATAATTTTAAAAACCTCATTGACAGAGTTCATGCATTATATTATAATGTGAGAGGTTTTCTCCAAACTGTAATAGATTTTAATTCTACCTTTTTACCTTTTAATCACTAAGATTTAAAACTGATTTTATAGTAAATCTTATGACATAATATCTTTTATATAACCTTTTAAATGTTTGTAGTTTTTACATACTATTTCCTATAAAGGCAAATGTGATTATATTAAGAAAACATTTAAGTTTCAAACATTGCAGAAGTGGTTCTTATTCAGACTTGGTACACAGATGGTACTCAATATGTATTTGTCTACATGTGAGTCCCTAGCTAATAATTCTTCAGGAGCACAGTGGATTATGGACCACAAGGTTGGTAGTTCAAGCCCGCTAGCTGCTGTGGGAGAAAGATGAGGCTTTCTGCTCCTACAATATTTTAAAAACCTTGGAAAGCATCCACTTTAACCTCACTTCACTGTCAACTTGTGTGCATTTTCCAGGGTCGCTATGAATCGGAACCGACTTCACAGCTTGTAACCACATCAACACCAACAATAATTCTTTACTTGTCTCAAGAAAACAGGAGATGTTAGAAAGATGACTGCCAGGGAAGTCTGTCCACTGACCATGTAGGGGATGCTATAGCTGAGCCAAGCCATGGTCCAAGCATGCATTGCCATTTACTCAGGTGTCCTTGAAGATGCCATTCTCTGAGCCTCTTGCCCTGGTTGCATAGACTTGGCAGTCAATTGTGAAGGCACTGAACTTCTTCCAGGGCCTAGGCAAACCACCTCGGAGATGAGCTCCTTGACTTTATGTTCTATATGGAAATCTCATGAGGAGGTAAAAAGACTCAAGGTGGGAGGCAGAGTAAACAGAGCAAAGCGTTCCTGGTAAAGGGGTTTATCAGCAGAATAGTAACCAGGTTATGACAGCATTAAATGTAGTTTAGCTGAAATTGTCTGAGTCACTGGCAAATTGTAAAAAGGGGAATGGCATAATAAATTAATTCATGGGGTGGGGTTTGTGCTGTGAAAATAGCAAACTGCTTTCTTTTCCCATAATGTTTCTTCAATTAGCAGAAGATAAAGGAGTTTGTCACCAACCCCCTCCGTCTCCCTACATCCACCTGACCTTTCCCATGTTCTGATCCCATTTTGACATTAGTGTTTCATCATCAGCACTTAATGAATTTCTAAAGCAATAGTTCCTTCAATGCACTTAAACAGATGTGTGGGTAGGCTCTCTAGAGTCCCTGAACTTTCAATACCGCCCATATTACCCTTAGATTCTGTCTAGACCTTTCTCCATGCTGTCTGCTGATTCTTGTCAACCAAGGTGTGAGCAAAACAAACCAGGAAACAAATTCATTACTTCCAGAGAGCTCATTCTTTGTCCTGAGTCCCACTCAGAATTTTTCTGTTATGCCCCACCTCAAGAATCTCAAAGATACGCATTATACTTTGGAGGTTTTAAAGAATTTTAGTTAGGTGTGTAGTCTCAGTGAAATCAGTCATTTTACATTTAATGCCATTTTGGTGGGCTGGAAACAGAGGAGGGTATGGGTAGTTGAACAACATATATAAACCACTGTAAAAAAAAAAAAAATTAGCCAGAGTAGTAAAGGCTGCAACTAGCCCAGGAACTTGATGTTTAGAGAACACCTTGCATCATAATCTCAATGATGATATTGGAACAAATGATGGCTATTGGAACCTTGGAGAGCAGCACTTGTTCAGTGGATGTTTCTACAATTAAGAAAATGTATCTATGCTATACAATGTGGCAAGGTGCTCTGGTAGTGTAGTGGTTACGAATCAGGCTGTAAACCGCCCCGTCAGCAGTTCGAAACTACCAGCTGCTCCATGGGAGAAAGATGAGGCATTCTGCTCCCATAAAGATTTATGGCCTTGGAAACCCTGTTCAGAGTCGCTATGGGTTGGAACCGATTCGACGGCACTTTATCAACAACAGCATACAATGCGGCAACCACTAGCCACATATGGCTATTGAGCAGTGATATGTGGCAGGTGCAACTAAGAAACTGAATTTTAAACTGTTCTTTCTTTCAATTAATTTAAATTCAATTAATTTAAACTTAAAATAGCCACATGCGACTGTTGGCTACCATGTTGGACAACACATTCACTGAAGATCTTTAAAATTCCCATTCTCTTCAAAGCTTCTGAAGGAACACATTTAAATTCTATCTTAGCACCTAAAATCATAGTTGTTGTTGTTGTTATGTGCCGTAGAGTCGGATCTGACTCATAGCGACCCTGTACAGGATTTCCGAGGCTATAAATCTTTATGGGAGCAGAAGGCATCATACTTTTTCCATGGAACTGCTGGTAGTTTTGAACTGCTGACCTTGTGGTTCGCAGCCTGATTCATAACCACTACAATATAGTGGGGTAGATTAAATCATTTGTACCCCTTAATTCTTATACTTTGGAATTATAAACTGTTTCTGCCCTAGATACAAGCAATCCCCAGGTTCCAAACAAGATCGGTCCCTGTGTTGTTAAGTCTTTATGTGAAATTTGTTGGAACGAATACATTCAATTCTTACTTGGGCTTCTTAGTCTTTTTAATTATTTATAAGCTGCTCATGCAGCAAGTGAAGATGATTGTGATGAAAAATTTTTTGTGAGTACAGGTTGAGTCAGTCTTTTCAAAGTGTGGGCAAATTTACATAACATTTACCGGCAAGTGGGTGGTTACAAAT